AGGAAGAAAGAAAAAAAGGTATTTTTCATCCTGTTTTGACTGGACGTGCTAAGAAAAGCGGTGAGGTCACTAAAAGGAGCTTATTTTTTACAATGTCATTCGCCCACACTTTGTGTTCAGCCGGGTGGTTTTATTGTCTTTTCAACTCTATTTTCATCCTACCAGTACAAAAAAGTTCTTTTTAGTCTCCCCCTCACCCTTTTTGCAGTTTGGTTTATACAGTAAAATAATACGTCTGTGGCGATAAGGTAGATCTGTGAATGTTTCACTGTTCAGAAGAGTTCAAATAAACCTGCTTTATATCCATTTAGGAAATTCCACAAAAGCGTTGTGGGCAGGAATACCACAAGTCTTCAGGGAACACCAGAGCAGAATATTTCCCGGAATTTTGGGGGCCTGTACACCCACAGCAACAGCAGCAACGGCGGTTCGTTTTGAGTCAGAGCACAGCTCATTTTGAGATATCACAGGTAGCAAAGCTTGTTTGTCTCCCTGACTGTGACTCTCTAGAGGACCAGAAATTAAATCCAGTAAACGGAGAGAAGGAGACAAGGCAGGAGTATTGGGTGCAGGGTAGGGAAAATACAGGAGATGAGAAAAAGTGCATTTTTTAAATGGTGAATAATTTGTACGCCCTGACATGATGCTGTGCAGGACCACTTCCTGTGGCTCGGGTTTCAGTGTGTAAATGTGCTATGGGGGGAGGGTCTGCTTCCTGAGCTTTTTGCAGGGGTTATGGAAAAAGTTGGGAACAATATGCAGCAAGTTGAGGATTTTCTTAAAGATCAAAAAAACTTTATTGTAGATTTATAATGGAGTGTAATGGGGATAAACTGAGAAGTTACACCCCCTTTCCAAAAATGCTTTGGAGAGACAGCATTTATTTATTTATTTTTAAAAAGAGGTTATAAAGTTCAAATGGAAACATTTACATTTCATATACCAAATATAGACCATATGAAAAATTAAAAAGTTTTAACAGTGTGGATCTATATTATATCAGCATTTAAGCTTCTTTACCTGCATATTTATTAAGTATGGGATAAAAATGAGGATGTATACCTTAGTCCATGCAGGTGCTGATTACATGTGTGTGGCCTTGGGAAGTGTTGGGAACCTTGTTCAGACATTATGTTTTTCCTCCCTCTGTACATTCACACCAGCGCACCTTTTAATAGGAGAGTTGATATCCCAGCGGTGCCTTTCCTAATAACCCGTGTTTACCTTAAAGCTACAGAGCCGAGATTTAACAACAGTCACGGTCTGTTATTGCGTAAGACTCTCCCTCTCAGATGTCCCACCTTTTTATTTTGATCAGTTCTTTGCTTTATCCTTTTAATTTTGTTAAATTAATTTGCCTCTCTTCATTAATTTCCTTCTTTTTCTCTCTTCTTCTCTTTATGCTTTGCTGTGTGCACGTGTGTGTCCAGCTTAGGGCTTGGCAGCGTCTCCTCTGAGGTTTCTGTGGCTGCAGGTAGCGGACCTGTTCACTTAAACACTGTACCTCTAATGTACTCCAGATGATCCAACTATTTATAACTCACACACACACACACACACACACACACACACACACACACACACACACGAGTATACACACACACACACAACTTTACTACTCTCGCCTGTTGTAATCCCACTGCCTGGATTTTTACTATGCCATCATTTCTTGAGATGAGTTTGTTCGAAACACACGCACATACAAACACACACACACGGTTTCTCTAATATGTCTGTCTTTGCATTTTACTCTACTTTTAGTCTCAGGACCTTTTGCCACCCCTTTTTAAGAGGCGGTGTTACTTTACACTTTTCCTGTTGGTATGCCATGTCTAGAGTTTACCCATGTGTGTCTAAGCGTGTGTGTGTGTGTGTGTGGAGAAAGAGAGTGGGTGGGTGGGGAGGGTTTGAAAGTTGGCACTTACCTTTACCAGGCAGCCGGGGGAACAGAATTATGGGGCATTCAGGCCAGTTTTACTGGTCTTGAAAAAACATGCAAATAGGTCATATGACACCAACCTCCAGGCTTATAAAATCACAGAAAAGGGGGGGGGGGAGAAGAGGCAGAGACAGAAAAACAACAGTCAGAAGAGCAAAATTACAATACTAAACTAATACTGAACAGGGTAAAAAACACACACACAGATTCAGAGCACAATTGGCTAAAAAATGCTGGCCCACAATAATCATTGCATCAGCAAGACTTTGTTTTCATGCAGTCCCTGAATCGTTCTCTTTATCTCGCTGTGGTTGTATTCTTTTCACCTACATTCTCCAGCTTTGTGCGCACACACTCACACACATGCAAATTTTTAGCCAGCAAATATAGAGGCCTGATGGGTGTTTTTGTCTTTGTGCATGCCAGTAAACAAAATGAGGAGAAAAGGAAGGAGTTTGAGAAAGACGAGGAAATTAGAGCACAGAGAGAGAGAGATGATTTGATGATAAAAGGAGTAAGCAAAGGAGCAAATATGACCAAGAGGAGGGAGGAGTGGGGTGGGTGGAGGGGATTTGGGCTAGGAAAGAGGGAACTGGAGAGAGCTGGAAAGACAGAAACAGACCACCTCAAAGTAATGAGAGAGGGACCGAGGAGATAGAAATATAGAAAAGTGGGGAAAGAAACCAAGAGAGACCACCCCACAGTGAACACCAGTGGGAACGCCGTGCAGATTTTAAAATCTTATTTCTCTCCCAGCACAGCTCTCCTTAAACCAACACCCGAAGCAGGAGTCGATCTTACTGCCAAGCCATCCCTCACTCTGCCCTTCTGCATGTGTGCACGCACATACTGACTCATGACAGGGCCCCCAGAACGCTAGTAAACCACGGCTGCGCTCTGCTTATTGCCTGCAACGAGGAAAAGCTCGAAAACTTTATATAAGACGAGATGATGCAACACTCTGTTGCGCATCAGAAAAGCCTTGGTTACTGTGAACAGAGTTGAAACTATCATCTCTGCTATTAACGCAGCCAGGAAACATGCATTTCCCCTGCAGAAAGCCACAATCCCATCTGTGTGAATGGCCCTATGTGGTGTCAGACAATTCCCTCTCTCTGTGGAAATAACACACAACGTGTTGTGCTTGAACTGGGCCTTTTCAGTACTGATAGTCCACAGATCTGTGCATGATAAGAAACCACTGTGGTTTTCTAACGTAAACACATGAAGCCCCTATAACCTTCATCAACAGACACCCCCCGCCACCACCACCAAAGTTCCCCATTAAACATTTGGAAAGCTTAAATCCAATAAAGGATCTTTGTATAGGGTGGAGTAAATTAAGTTAGGACAAAGAGCCTATATGTTTGAATGAGTCGTGCTGCCCTTTGATAAAGAGCCTATGTTTATACTGGTAAAGCGGAGCCACTGTGATATTGTCTGGTATGTGGAGAGTTATAAGAGGCTTATGTTTAACTCAGTCTGAAAGATAAACAGCCTTAGGCAAGAGAGCTGAGAGGATGCGTATACTTTTTTTTCCCTCTTGAGTTTTCTTCTTCTTTTGCTTTTTCTCACTGCTTTATCAGCGTGTTCATTTCTCACCTCCCACTGTAATCCAGGCTCCATCTTTCTTGCTGTTCTCATACTCTGTGCTGCATTTGACAAGTATTAGAGAACTGAGTGGGGCATTTTGTGGAGGTGAATTGGTGGCCCGTGGTCCAGCTTGGGGGTCACAGCATTCTGGGGACAGGGTCAGTTTGAGAGGTCACAGGTCAGCACTGATGGGTGCAGTTGGCACCGACCTCAGGGAACGTGTGCGAATTAGAGCTCATTCTATTAACGGTTTCTACCCGGACTTCCTGTCACTCTCTGTTCCTGTACCATTAAAACAACAAACCATTTTATAATATACCTCAACATCATCTTGTCCTCCTGCCAGATAGGATTTGGTTATTTTTCTCTTTTCTGACTTCAGAGACATTGTCACGTCATGACAAGGAAACTTAAATTCTTTTGCAAAATAAATAAATAAACAGAAGAAAACTGAGTACCATTTTGACTTAATGCATGCTTATTTGACTTAGATGAATACGTTGTTTTAATAACAAACACATGGGAAGTTTAAAATATTAAGAAGGTTTTATTATTCTTTGGTAAATTTCAGAGTGCGCTCCTCGACAAGATGCACAGTATTGTGCAAAACTCTTGATCCACCCTTTATTTCTTTATATTTTACCATGAAAATGGAAAATAGATGCAACAGTTTATTAAAATATGTGAAAACATAAATAGAAGCTACACAGTTTATAAGGCAAAAACAGTTTGAAAGGCAATAATCGGTATGACCACCTTTATTTTTCAACACAGTCTGACTTCTCTTAGGAAGCCTTTCTTGTCGTTTCTTGTCATAGTCTTCAGGAATACTTCTCTAGGCTCTCTCTTTTGATGTTTCTGCCTTTAGTTCTGTTCTTTGTCAAGATGATCTCACACTGCTCTAAAAATGTAGAGGTCCAGGATCTGGGAATACCAATACATCTATATGCTTTATATGCTTTTATTGCATTAGCATCTGTGTTTGGGATCATTCCCAAACAGAAAAATTGCAGCCAATCAAACACTTTCCAAATGATTTTGCATGGTGGAAATCTGTCGATACTTTTCTGTGATCATAATTCTATCAGTTTGGCAAAATCTCCAAAACCACTAGCTGAATTGCAGCCACAAACCATGCCACAGCCCCCGCCATTTTTTGCAGATGACTGACACTCACTGTCATTCCTCTGTGCGGACGTCCTCCATTTTTGATGAGGCTTCTTTGCTTAGCTGTGTGTTGTTTGAAGACAAAACGCTGGCTCATCCCTTGAGTTAGGTGCTTTTTTCATGTCTGAATGATTCATCAGTCAGTGTTAAGTGGCTTAACAAACAAATAAACATTACTCTGAAAATGGTAAGATGCAGGAACTGGACTAAAAATGAGTGAAAAAGCAGCCAATGTCCACAGACAAACTTTGAAAGACCTTCAGAAAGCCTGAAGACCTACTGCTCAAGACCACTTTAAAGATTACAACAAAGTCTGGCACAGAGGAGGAGGGCAACTCTAAAGCAATAATAAATCTAAAAATGCTCATTACTACTCTTATATAGCAAAAACCAAAGAAGTGTATGGACTTTCTTTTTGTCCAGTTTACTGATATATTACATCACTGACCAGCAGACATGGAGGGTTGGAGTGATACGCAAAGCACCATTTGTTTAATTTCACTTCAGAGAGTCAGAGAATGCTATGCAGATCTTAATTTGAGATATATGACGAAAACGCAACAGAGCACAAGTAAAAAAGAAACTCCAGCATACACACAAATACATATATACACCTACACACACACACACACACACACATGCTAACTGCCTCAGGTTGCGATGAAACACAGATAATTAGCTCTAATGGAAACCAGACTTAGAAATTGAGTCGCCCCCCCTCCGTCTGTCTCACCCAACTTCCTCCCCCTCCACCTTGTCTTTTTGTGGTGTTGAGGGTTAATGTAAACCAGGGCTTGTTACCCCATAATGGGGAACTTCACAGAGAGATGGGAAGTGAAGGAGACACAACACTAAAAGAAGTAAAGGAGACAAGTAAACCACTGTTAAACTACCTGGTCTTGCTTTCCATGTATAGCAGTGAGAAATCTATGTTTGGAAAGATTTACAGCTCCTGGCGTTACTAAAATACACACAGGCCTGCACCTTTGGCTTTTAGATCAGTTTAAGGACTGCAAGCTCAAAGCGAGGAGATATAAACGGTGATTAATGAGAGAGAGAGAGCGCGAGTGCGTGTGTGTGTCAGTATTCAAAGAGCCTATAAATCATAGCACACTTAAAACTAGAGAGCCAGATGCCTTCACACTGATAACAAGCGGTCATCCCATTACTTTTAAACATCAAAGTCGAGCAGGAGCTGAGGTTCAGGAGCCCTCCCCCTCCCGATTAGTTTCTCCCTCTCTCTCCTTCTCTGTGTGAAATGTATTTCCCTGTTTGGTAGGCGTGAGAAATCTCCCTGTGTGTGTGTATTAACCTATATGTGTTTGTGTGCGCGTGTGTGTTTTGAAGCCTCAGAGGTGACATTCCTCTGTGTCAGAGCAACAGCCTCAAGTTTAAGATAACACGTCCACGGTGATCTAAGGGTGGGAATCGATTCCCCCCGGTGGCTGGCGAGGGCTTTGGGTCAGCGCAGATGGCTTTACCTTCCGCACGCAACCCGTGATACAAAAACACAGCGATGCTCCCATCATCATCTCTTAACAACCCTACAGAGAGATAGAGAACTCCCTTAAGTGAGTCATGAATGACATCGGTGTGTTTCATCTCAAAGTGATATTCCTGTTGCACTCATAAAATAGCCTAATCCTACTTTATTTTATGGGAAATTGTAGCCTTGAAGCATTCAGTCAGGACTTATATTTGGTAGATATAGCATCAGCCAATGAGATACTTCCCATGTAGTCTTCTTGTCTTAATATAATCTAGTCCTTCCCTTCTTGACTTTAATGGTGTGTAACAGCCCAGATGCTGATTTGGTATTTGGACATATCACATTCAGCATTTAGGTGGAAAGATTATTTCTGTCCAAACTTGTGGTAAACCATCCAAAAAATATAATAAAAATAATTTAAAAAACCCACGATCATTCCTTTTCACATAATTTGCAATTTGTTTGTTTGTTTTTTGGCTTTTATTATTTAACAGCTACATGGAGTTTTATTAGTTAATCCCGTTTACAGTTTGGGCCAATTTTATCAGCTGTTTTGTTGTTAAGAAGAAATACTCTGATAATCCAATGTGTTTTATGTGGACTATAACTCGTTGGTATTTGTAAATTCCATCCAGCCTATTCTGTTTGCATTTTCACTTCTCTCCACCCCATCAATCTGTCAAGCCTCTCTGGGTATAACTGCTGCAGCACCTGCAGGAGACTCCCATGCTGACCTGCAGCTCAGTGGACATCTGGGAATATCATGCATGCCCCCCACAGCTCCAGATTCACCTTGTTGAAACAGACCATTGGCTAATTATGGCTTTCCCAGATCCCCAAGCTCAAGAAATCACTACGAAATAAGCCACTGAAATGAGATGTTTTCTTTTGCCCCGCTCCACTGTAGTTTGGTTACATGGGGATTCAACATCAAGCAAGAAAATAAGCTCTCTACAAAGACTCAAAGTACAAAGACCATGAAAATTGAATATGTTTCCCCTAACAAAAAAATAAATAAATAAAAAACATTTCTTTAAAAAAGTGACATTTATTCTTCTGTGTAAAAATAGAGGCTTCTAAATTCAGCTGATGGGCATGAAATTTCTTTGACGCAGCCCCTAGTTAGACCTTCAAGGAATATCCAGACCAGAAGAATGTACGATACTTTCATAATTTTATTTAAGATATTACCAAATATTTACAACACTCAAAATGCAAAGACTCTAGATCCATTTGGAATTCTGTGATACTGCAAAAATAAATAACCTTTATTTGAAATAGGGGGAGGAAGAAGTTTCCGACCTGTGTAGAAAAATAAATACAAAATACTTCATTTTCTGTGATGCGGTGTCACAGGGAATGTGGAGTGGTCTGTCATCTTTCTCTCGTGTTTCAAAACAGAGCCGTTTGTCAGTTTTTTTCTTTACAACATTCATAGTCGCAGTGGTCTTTCTTTCTTCATATCCGTCCTGTCTGTCCTAAGTGCTCCCTTGCAAACATTTCAGTCCGTGCAAAGGGAAATATGAAAAAAGCTGCTTTCCTCTGAGGCCTGAAGCACAGCAGCCGAGACTGGGGCCCAGGTGTGTTTGGCCTATTTTAGTCTGTCTGATCCACTGGTTCCTCAGTCTGAGTAATCTGTGAAAGAAATACTCTGGTTAAAACAAGTGAAAACAAGATGTTGGTGCGTGTTGGCCATGTATGTAAATGACAAAACCTGGCTGTGGGCTTAGGTGAAGAAAATAAACATGAAGCTTGGATTTCGTGGAAGAAATGCTATGTCTATTTCTTTGTAGCTATAAGATGATATGAGAATGCCATGTTTACAGCGATAACTCTGGTCTGTTGGCGCATAAAGTTGTAGTTGACATCTCTTTCATAATGAAATTAATCAAGCCTAATTAATATTAGAGGAAGTTTAAAAGAGTGAGACAGAAAAACTACAGCGACCTACTGGAGGATTATACATGACTGTATTAGTTTGTTTAATTTGGGCCTGTGCGTTAAATGCGCATAACCGGAACATTTTGGCACGGCTCGAGTTCCTGCTGGATGAAAAGTGAAAGGAGCTCAACCTACCGTACTGTGCCACCAAGAGCAGCCCTTCTAGTGGGACGTAGTCGACAAGGACCACGCGCCCCCCATCCTCCAGACTGAGAACGCATAGCTCAGGCGCTCGTGCGCCACGTAGTTGCAGCTGGTCCCTCGCGCGTCCAGCTCGTCGCTTTGTAGAACTTGGCAAAGGAAGTCGATGTACCGCGCTGCCAGCTTCAGGGTCTGGATCTTGCTGAGTTTGTCCGACGGCAGGGTGGGAATGATCTTACGTAACGACGTGAATGCCTCGTTGAGGGACTGCGTCCTTTGGCGCTCGCGGATGTTGGCCATCACGCGCTGCGTCTGCAGGTCGTCAAATGAGCGCGCTGGGCTACTGCTGGCCTCGCTGCCGCCGCTCCCGGTGCTGCCTCCTCCTCCGTCTCCGCTCTTCCTGCATTTCTTTTTCACCGGACCGGGGCTCTCCACGTCCGCTTCCTCCTCTTCGTCCGTGCTCCTCCGCGCCGTCCGCCTCTTCCTCGCGCCTCTCCGCGGCAGCTGTCGGTCGGTCTCCTCCTCACTGTTACCAGCGCTATCCATTGGGGAGGAGTCGTCTTCCCGCATTGTCTTTTCAGAAAGGTTTTCTGTGTCCTGTCAGAGAGTCACGAATCCCTGACTCAAATCCACTGAAGCGGTCACAACATCAACAAACACGAGAGGTAACAGGAGCGTGTGTGAGCTGGTATTACGGTAAATCTCGTGCGCCACAGAATGGGAGAGGTGTCTGCCAGACTGGGACGACCCGAGTTCTTATAACGGGGAGCAGGCAGGAGGATTTTGGGGCTTGCTGTGATTGGGTGGGGAGGGCCGTAACATAATACCGCAGAAAAAGAGAGTTCTTGCTATAATATTAGGAATTAAGAGATGGAGTGTTTTTTATTCGAGACTGGAAGGATGTAGTGGGGGCAGTGTTTGCTATTGGATCATTGTGCAAGCACTGTAAGACCTGTCTTAGAGATAAGTTATTTGTCTCTGCTCCACCCCAAATTATTTCTTCCCCAAAAGCACAATGCCCCCCCCCCCCATCACAACAACAGCAGCATTTATTACAGAATGCGCGAGTTATAATAATAATTTTTATTTTTATTTTTATTTTTATTTTTATTTTTATTTTTATTTATTTTTTATTTTTTATTTTTTTTTACATTGAATTAGAGCAGACCTCATTAAATGTCCAGGCTCTTTTTTTTGCTCAGTGTTAAATAAAGACCTGTTGTTGTTGTTTTCTTGTGTTATTTATTATTTAGTTTCAGGCTCGTTTTTTTTAAAGTGTGAATAGCAGGTTTTGTTGTTTTTCCAAATTTGCTGCACAGACTATCCACTGTTTGCGTCACTGACAATAAAACTTACAAATGGAAATCGCCCAGCAGTTTTACCGCTGTGTCATCGTGTGTGGAAATTTCATGCTTTCCCCCTCTTGCTGAAAACAATTCAAAGCCAATGACACAGAACAGAACTCTTCCTCTAGTTTTAAACATTAAAGTGTTTCTGTGCAGGCGTTTGACAAGGGAGCAGCGATCAGGCCCACTGAAAAACACATGAGGCTGTCACAGCAGGAGGTCGCTCCTCTAGTAGACCTGTGTGTTTATTTTCCCGTCAACGGCCTCGCGGTTGAGGTATGCACTTAAAGGGTTTGACTCCCGCAGGGATCTCGGCACCGCGGCTCAGGTTTAAAAGACGGCCCGTCACAGGGAGCTCTCAGGGCGGATCCGTGCTCACAGCAGGGACGGTGAAAGGCGGTGTTCGGCTGGAGCACAACGCAAATACCGGACGTGATAAAGATGGACCGAGGAGAGAGGAAAAAAGCACTTCACTGGCTCACACAGAGTCGAAACACCTACACATGACCACCCAGCTCCGTGGCCTGCTCTGCTGTGATCTAATATCCTAGTCAAAAAACAAAAAATACGTCTTCATGTGGTTGAAACTAGACCTGGCAACTTCTTGGAGGTAGTCTGTGGTGTGAATGGCCCACCGAGAAGCCTCACTTCTGATGAGGAAGGATGACACAAGAGGACCACAGAGGGCCCAGCCCCGCTCTCTTGTGGAGACACGGTCCCCCAGCGCTAAACAGCTTTGCCTCTACCATCAATCCAGGACTGAAAGAGGGCATCTGGTGTGGGTGGTGTTTTTGTCACTCAGTTTACCTTCATCTCACCTCCATGAATAACTCAATTTACACCTTAGTGACAAAGATAATCTGCAGCTTCATGCCGTGAGCCCTTGATTTGTGATTTAGATCCACTTTTAAACTCTTTTGAGGATATTTGGCCATCAAGGAGAAAACAATCATGATTCATGTGCTCTCGCTTTCTGAGTGAGGAAAACCTCGAGTTGCTTTTTTTTTTTGCCACACCCTTCAAGTGGCCAGGTGAGGCGCGTGCCTCTGTAGCTCTCCACGGTGCTGAAAACCACACCACTTCAGAGCTGTATGACAACAACCATAAGATGCTGACATTCATGCGTATCTCCTCTTAACGGATTTATTAAATGCGACAGTGTAAATATGTTTTGATCCAACACTGGCTGTAAACTGTCCATTTAAGCGGACATTATGGTCTTATTAATTTTAGTAAGGTTAGTCAAAATTAAATTTCACTTTGCTTTCTTTGTCGTGGCAGTCCAGGCAAAGAACACAAACATGACCATAGCGGTACTTTTATTTTCAAGCAACATCGATTCACATGCAACTAATGAAATCTCGGTTCTCACTGACCTAGTGAGCTTTCTCCAACGATGTATGTGTTTTTACAGCCACAAAAAAATCTGACATTTCTTAATAGAATCCCTCTTGTTGGTCCATACACGGAAAGTCAGCTGCTCATTTATGTCCGTGTCATTGGTGGGTTGAATGGCGCCTTCAGTCTAGTTCAGTCTGCCATAGATAAAGCTGAGCTGTTGTGTCTCAGGTGTCCTCCAGCAGGTCCATCATGAAGGAGATGTAGACGATGGCCAGACGCAGCGTCTCGATACGGGACAGCCTCTTCTCGTATGCGAATGTAGGAACTTTTCTCCTTAGTTCGTCAAACGCCTCATTCAGACTGAACATTCGCTTTCTCTCCCGCACATTGGCCGCCTGCCGCTGGACCACCGTGATGATCCTCCTCCGCTTGGCCTTCGTGTTCCCCCGGGCCCCGCGGCTGTAGTATCTCGGCGAGCACATTGCCACCTGAGCAGTGCGCACACCGTCCTCCGCTTCCCGGCTCCAGGAAGGCTCGTTTAACTGCCTTTGGCTGATTGGACAGGATGGAGCAGCATCCACCTGCTGCTTTGGTGCTAAAGCATATTTGTGGGGATACTCCATAACATTAATGTTCATCACCGTGGAGTCAATAAATCGGCCCTGCATTTCCATCTTCAATGCGCTGCAGTTTGAGAGAAAGTCTCTCTTTTGTTTTTCTGTTTAGAAACTGACTCCAATCAGAACTCTCAGACGGACTAAAGTCGTTCACCAGACACAGAATCCAAAGCGCCCAATCAGATAAATCCAACTTTCTCCAAATCCGGTCAGTGCGCTACGGGGTTAGATCCTATTGGGCCCAAGTCCAAGAGCTTCTTCCTGCTGTTTTAATAAGTCGCCTATACCACCTCACAGCGCGACATCTTTCATGTCCCTCTTGCTCTTAATTGAGCCCATTTTTGCCGTCAGTCGACCGGTGACTGGGATGAGAAAGACTTAAAAAAAAAAAAGGCAAACTCGACGGCCCTGCCAGTTGATGCACTGTCCTCCTGGAGGCCTTTAATGAGCATCTGAAGAACGAGGGCTCTTAACAGAGGGTCATGCAGTCTTGTTTGCACTCTCTCCTCTGCCTCAGAGGCTAAATAATGACACTTTTATCACTTAAACCAGCCAGGAGAAGGCCAAACAGAACATTCTCTAACAGTCACTACACACCACAAGCTTTTCTGTTGCAAATTAAAGCAAATAACTGTCCGTTCCCATGGCAGGACAGTGTCCACACTGCAGGGACCAACAAGAGAGCCACTGCTCAGCCTAAAACACTGCACTCTCAGAAAATAATGCACTTTAAGGCAAGGTAATTCCAATAAACTCATAAGGTTACTGCACTGCACACTTGTGGTTTGTAACTTATACAGACACCTTTTATGCCTGCATTGATAACATTATAACTTTGATTTAATCACAGCATTTTTGGCATTTTAAAAGTTGCAGATCAGTTTTATACTTACTCATTCACGTTACCTTAGCATATCTTGAATATCTCAGGGTTATAGGAGAAACCCGAGAGATATGGAGGTATAAGGGTGGACAAAAGGATGGAGGCTTTAAAGCCAGAGGCTCCTTGCTGTGTTTATGATCTAAAAATAATGATTTTTGTCAGACTGTATTCAGCTAACCTAAATAAATTCACAGCAATAACCCAAATTCCAAGAGTAAAATCATTATTTTACTCTACTCCTACTTCTGTGAGTTTAGAGTGTTTTTCACTGACATTATCTGAGCGTTCACTTGAACGGCGCATCAATCCCTTATTTTATTTTTCTTGATCATTTTAAATTTTCCAGCTTAATGTGATATTACCTTAACCAGCCACAAAGACCAAGAGCATAAATTCAGATCCAGCTGAGTAGAAAAGTGCTATATAAGTACAGTCCATTTGCTGTTTTACCTTTTACCTCATAAATGAATTGCCAGCAGAAAGGGTCACCTGCATGTGCATATTTAGCAACAGGAATTATTGTGGTGTCGGGAAGTGAATGCGCTGGTCTGAAAGTTGCTGAATTCAGCTTTGCCGGTGTTTTTGCAGCAAACTCATATGCTGACAAGCTGTTCCAGAGACATTTCTTATATCAGCCTAACATTCATAAGACGTTTTATGGATCATCTGAAAATGAGCTAATCTTTAATTAGTTTTCTTTTCTTTGTCCATCTTGGAAAGTTGGGTTTTATTCCGGATCCCAGAATTGCATCTCAGGAGTATCGTTGAGCACTGATTATGTCTGAAAGACCTCAAGCTGCCCCTCTTTTTTTATATTTTTCTTCCAAGAAGCCAGACTTTCTTCTGATTTCTTAAAGTGGACTTTCAAAGTTTTTCTTTGGACATTCACTATTTTATTCCCACTAATTTTCTCTTCTGTCCACTTTTTCTGATGAATGTTTGTTTGCTTGTTTTATTGTTTTAACTATTTAACACTGATTTAAGAGTCACTGAAGCATGAAAGACATCTAACTCAAGGAAGAATCCGTGTTGTGTCTGTACATAACAGACAACATAGCAGAGAGCCAATTTTAAATTGTATCCTTAGTCACTAGCAGTCTCTTGCAAAAACACATACTTTGTTCCAGTTTCTTTAGTTGAATCTACATAAAAATGCCAAAGGTAACACAATTTGTATTTTTTGAGCAACAAGTTGATTCCCAAAGAGCAAAAGAAGAACAAAAGAAGATGTGGCAGGCTTAAAACTTCTTCAGCAGCAGATGAACAGTTTCTGAAATTCATACAGTTAAGAAAGTATTGTTTGCTGAAGCCTCATTAGACACGTTATCAATCAGTGACAACAGGTCTCATGGAGTGATGATTACAAACTTGAAATTATTCATACAAATCCTTGTCAGTAAGTCAGGAGGAGGTCGTGAGAGAGGTACAAACAGGAGTGTCTACAGCCATCTGTAAACCACAGTGGAGGCTCTGTCATGGTTTGGGGTTGCACTTAGAGATCAGGTTTGATCCACCATGCAATACCATATCAAAAGCATCTGACTAGCTATAGTTTCATTTTTCATCATGACAATGATCCTAAACACACTGACAGTACAGTAAAAGCATACCTGGAAAGAAAAACACCCACTGGAACACTATTAGTCATGGATTAGGCTCCCCACAGCTCAAACCTCAACATTACTGATGGTGTGCGATCATCTTGACAGAGAACATAAAAAAAGGCATCAAACATCCAAAGAAGAGCTTTGAAGGTCCTTCAAGGAGCCTGGAAAACTATTCCTGAAGACTACTTAAAGGGATGCTTTCCTAAGAGAGTTCAGACTGTGTTGAAGAATAAAGGTGTTCGTATCAAATATGGACTTATAAGCTTGTTAGAATTGTAGCAACTCCAATTTTGTTTATAAAATTTATAAAATGTTTATAAAAAAATTGCTACACATATTTCCCATCTTACTAGCAGAATATAAAAAATAAATATTTGTCATAGATTTTAAGTTCAATTTAACCTTACCCACCTTGAATTCATAGCGGGCATTTAGACTTTTCTCATGAAAGTAGGACACCAAGAGTGTGATTAACACAGCTAATCCTCCAGTAGGATGTTGAATGTCCTCCTGGTTGAGTTAACACTGACATCAAGAGCATGCTCTTTTTTTATTTAAAGTTTTTTATGCATTCTTGTGTGATTATTCCATACCCAAGAGTGTGAATGTACAAGTGTCTGTCTTGTATACACACTCCAACCTAAGCATACTTCTCCATCTCCCTCTGCTGCCTCTTCTTCCTCTCTTTCTGTGTTTTCCTGGCACGCAGATAAACATGATGGGACATTCCTCTGGTTGTGGTGGAAACGCTGAGAAAGCACAGCTGGGCGGGAGAATATGAGGTAATCTCACCCTGGGGCTACTTTGTAAATATTGGTCTTAAATAAGGAGTAAAACCCCAAAAGAGGCACACAAACACACACACACACACACACACACACACACACACACACACACACACACCACACACACGCACACACACACACACACACACACACACAAACACACACACACACACACACCTACAAGGGATTATCCCAACTTTGTGTGAGACAGGACAGACCTTCACACAGACACTCATAATGGTTCATTTCCTGCTCTGCTCTGTTATTACTGGTTACACAGGGTGAAATTAATGATAGTTTGTGGTGTGACTAAATGTTTATGGAAGTAAACAGTCGGCGTTTTAGCAGATACAAACTGAGTGTTAAACCAAATCCTTTCCACAAAGTCTGGATGCTCAGTCGAAGAAGGTGGTTTTTCAGCGATTGTATAACTGTGCCGTGAATTTCATTAACGCATTTTGAAGTATTTGTGAAATCAATGCGGAGTTTGTGCTGAGTAAATGAACAGTCGCTCGGCCCCCACAGAAAGAGCATCTCGACACTTAATCCTAACGGATTAGGGGTCCGCAAATCAACATAATACTGCAGTAAATGTAAGAGGGAACCCTGAAAGGAACATACTTTGTTTCATGTCAGTTAAGAAATCACACATTTCATCAAGTCACACTTCTGAGGGTGACATTTCTTGGTTGTGTTTTTACACGGTGATGGCTTCCATATATTAGTTTTTAAGCTGCTCTGGAGCTGCTCTGGAGCTATGGCCGCTCCAGAGCAGCCATAGCTGTTCTCACCATGTAAATCTGTCCTCCTCCTCCTCCTCTGGCTGTGTCCTCTGTGTGCTGTAAGAGCATGGCCAAATCTCGCCCACCACCACCACTGTAAATCTGAAACTAGACACCTCTCTCTCTCTCGCTCTGTTTCTTTCTGTCTCTCTCCGTGTCTCTTTCTCAGGTTTTTTTGGGCTGAACTGTTTCATTGCTTGTTTTCACAACGGTGATTTAATACACATCCATGCTGAGACACCACTCACCGTTTCTTACTTACAGAGGCACAAAGTTGTTATTCAGTTTGTGTGTGGATTACACTCATGTGTGTGAAAGAATAATTTCACCCACCCTGCAAATCGTGTTTCTGCCAAACATTTCATAACATACTAATAAAGCAAATTTTCAAATTTGAAAATCTGAGAGGGAGGAGAGTCAAAGTGAAAGGGAGGAAGTGAGGAAGATGAGTTTAACTCCTGACCTGTGTGCCTAGTCTTCATTGTGTCACTCTGGCTCTCTGCACATCCTGAAGCTGACTCAACTGTTCACTCGCTCCACCTTCTGCTACATCTCCCCCCTCCCATTGGCCGGACCCTTTAGCCAGCAACCAGTCACGGGCTGTTTAGACAGCTGGGTGGCCATGTGAAAGATAGGGCTCATGCCTTGGACAAACCCTGATACCACATAATATATCTTCTTAACCCCACCCTCCCATACCTCCCCCTCCTCCTCCAGATCTACACCTTCCATTCGCCAAACCGCTGCATGCCTTCAGTTACTCTGTTCTGAAAAACCCTCCTTCTTTTAATCCAAGCTCACTCACCACGTGACTCCTCTATCCACCCTCACCCATGTCAGCACCTTTCCCCTCCCCCCCTCGCCCTCCCCAGCCCTCCCCACACCCGTTCTGTCTGAGTAATGTCTGTGTTTACTCTCACCCACTCTTTACTGTGTATTTTTAGGGTGCCGTGTTTCATTTGTTTTAAGAGTCATATTCTCAACCTTCAGCCCGTGTGCTCAGATGTCTGAGTTTCCTAGGCAACAGATGTTATTCTTTGATGATGATGATGATGACAACGTAGATAGTAGCAGAACGAGTATGTGCTTCGGCACTCTGGGTTTGCCCTTGTCTGGGGTGGTTTGTATGTAGCTCGAGACATTGTTTTCTCCTCTTTACACCAAGATTATTTATGTGGAACAACAGGTTAGTAGAAAAACTTCTGAGTGTTTCACAGATTAGGATTTTTTTGTAGGACGAACAAGCTTGAAAATATGCACAGCACCAAAGAGAAATGCCAGTAACTCTCACACAAATAAATAACATTTTTAATCTCCCAGGGGAACTATTGATAATAGGCAGACCTGCATGAGCTACACCTCTGTTAGCACCTCTGGGCTTCCAGCCAGTTTCATCAGATACAATCATGCAGAAAAAATGTCAAGCAATAACTTGAAGTAATCATTTTCTGTAGGACTATCAGTCTCTCACATTGTTGTAAAGGAATTGTTGCCCACTCTTTTTTACAACATTACTTCACACCATTGAGGTTTGCAGACCAGTCCTGTGATTTCTTTTTCCACAGGACTCTACCTTAACATTTAGCAAGGAACACAGCATCAGTCTTTTCAGTGTTTTTATGCAGTGTCAGATAGCTCTTCTCTGATACTGCTCTACTTTTCCTGTGTTGTTGATGCATTACATAACTTTCACACAGAGATGTATCCAATTTGGGGTTTGGTCTTCCAGCACGTGGACTGGAGGAGCAGGGGTTCAGGCCACCTTTTGCTTATCTCTAAGTGCACTTTTGCTCAACACAAAAATATCTGCAGATTTGTTTTTCTTTGTTTTCCATTCAAAAATATTATATTCACTAAACTGTTTTTTACTCCATATTTGTTTTTATGGTCATCTGCATCCTATCTGAAGTGTTTCTATTAGTGATTAGATGAGACGTTTGAGAAGCACAGCTTCACGTGGATTTGCTGCTCCTAGCAAACAGAAGGTTTGAACAGTGAGTTGGTGGGACTGCTGTTCTCGCAGGCAAAGCTGTGTGTCTGAAATGACCATATTAAGGATATCCCCTCTCTAAGCCATCATGTGGGTACAAAAATAATAAAAACTGTCTGAAACTTAGCCGGAGCTTTTGACTCGCGGGGATTATTTGCACATGCACTGACCTCATTAGTGGAAATGTTGTCTGTGTTTCAAAGGAACATCTGCTACAAGAGTATATGTATGCATATAAAAGAAAGCATGGAAAGTTTTCAGTGTCACTAGTCTATCACAAATGATGACAGTTCACTAAAAGATGTGTTTGTGCAAGTATATATCATCCATCCATCCATCCATCCATCCGTCCGTCCATCCATCCATCCATCCGTCCATCCGTCCATCCGTCCATCCGTCCATCCGTCCGTCCGTCTGTCCGTCCATCCATCCTCCATCAATCATCCATAGGTTTATTTTTTTTTTTTTTTTTTTTTTCCATCCATTCCATTTTTCTCTCATCCATTCCATTTCTTTTTCTCGTGTATCTGAGGCCTAAGCAAGGGGGACGTGATTGATAAAGGTTTAGGTTTTTTTTAACTTTGGCGAAAATTTCCGTTGTTCCTTCCGGCCATCCATTTTTTTTTTTTTGTCCAGCCATCATCACCACGTATGTTGTCCGTTTATTTTTACCGTTCCCGCACATCTCCATTTATCGTTTCTCTTTTCATCCATCATTCATTGTCCGTTTTTCCATTTTGTATGAGTATACCAGGTAAGAGTTTTTTTTTTTTTTTTTTTTGTTTTTTTTTTTTTTTTTTTTTTTTTTTTTGTTTTTTTTTTTTTTACCGTTTTTTTTTTTGTCATTTGCCTCCTTAGCTTATCCGTTTGTACCATTGTTCTGTCCATTTTCCATCATCTATCCATATATGTACCATCCATCTGTCCATCCATTCATGCTCAT